GATTATGTTGTATTTGTTTCATTAAAGTTGATTTGGCCTGGATTTTCTCAGAGGTATGCGCGTTTCTATCGTTATCATTACCTCTAGGGGCAATCTCATTGCTACGCGCGTTTCTGTCGTCATCTGTACCTTCAGGCGATCTTATTGCATGAATGGTCGCCCCTAGAGGTACGCCCGTTTTACTCGTCATCTGTACCTATAGGGGCGATCTTATTGCATTGATGGTCACCCCAAGAGGTACGCGCGTTTCTATCGTCATCAGTACCTCTAGGGGCGATCCGTTGCAATTGTGGTCGCCCCTAGAAGTACGCGCGTTTCTATCGTCATCAGTACCTGTAGGGGAGATCTTATTGCATTTATGGTCGCCCCTAAAGGTACGCGCGTTTCTACTCGTCATTTGTACCTCTAGGGGCGATCCTATTGCATTTATCCTCGCCCCTATCGGTACGCGCGTTTCTGTCGTCATCTGTGCATCTAGGGGAGATCTTATTGCATTTATGGTCGCCCCTAAAGGTACGCGCGTTTCTACTCGTCATTTGTACCTCTAGGGGCGATCCTATTGCATTTATCCTCGCCCCTATCGGTACGCGCGTTTCTGTCGTCATCTGTGCATCTAGGGGAGATCTTATTACATTTATGGTCGCCCCTAAAGGTACGCGCGTTTCTACTCGTCATTTGTACCTCTAGGGGCGATCCTATTGCATTTATCCTCGCCCCTATCGGTACGCGCGTTTCTATCGTCATCTGTAATTCTGGGCGATCTTATAGCATTTATGGTCGCCCCTAAAGGTACGCGCGTTTCTATCGTCATCTGTTTTTTCGGGCGATCTTATTGCATTCATGGTCGCCCCTAGAGGTACGCGCGTTTCTATCGTCATCTGTTTTTTCGGGCGATCTTATTGCATTCATGGTCGCCCCTAGAGGTACGCGCGTTTCTTTTCGTCATCTGTATCTCTAGGGGCGATCTTATTGCATTTATGCTCGCCACTATTGGTACGCGCATTTTATCGTCATCTTTTCCCTCTAGGGTCGATCTTATTGCATTGTTCGTCGCCCCTAAAGGTACGCGTGTTTCTATCGTCATCTGTATTTCTGGGCGATCTTATTGCTTTTATGGTCGCCCCTAGAGGTACGCACGTTTCTACTCGTTAACCGTAACTCTAGGGGCGATCTTTTTGCATTGTTTGTCGCCCCTAAAGGTACGTGCGTTTCTATCGTAATCTGTATTTCCGGGCGATCTTATTGCATTTATGGTCGCCCCTAGAGGTACGCGCGTTTCTACTCGTCATCTGTACCTCTAGGGGCGATCTTATTGCAGTGTTCGTCGCCCCTAGATGCACGCGCGTTTTTATCGTCATCCGTACCTCTAGGAGCGATCCTTTTGCAATTATGGTTGCCCTTATATATAGAGGTACGCGCGTTTCTATCGCCATTCTGTACCTCTAGGGGCGATCTTATTGGATTAGTGGTCGCCCCTCGAGGTACGCGCGTTTCAATCGTCATCTGTATCTCCGAGCTATACTACATTTAGTGTTTGATGTGTCCTGATGAAATTTCAGAAACTTCTTTACGACATCATAACCAATGAATATCAATTGATTACATGAGGTATTTCTGGAGTTATCGTCTCCACAACGAGTATGTCGTTTATTGTTGCATTAAAGTTGACATTAATTTCGATTTGATTGTTCGCTGATCTCACTCTATTTTTCGATTGTATAAAATCTGGTATTTGATATGTCCTTCTGAAATTTTATACGATTCTCAAAGACATCACGACAAATGCACAAACCAGATTTCAATTGAACATGACAGGTATTTCTGGAGTTATCGTCTCCACAACGAGTATGTTGTACTTTTGTTCCATTAAAGTTGACATGAATTTGGGTTTGATTGTTTGTGCTGACCTCACTCTATTGTTTTGGTTGTATTAAATGTTGTATTTGATAAGTATGTTGTTTTGTTCCATTAAAATTGACCTTAATAAATACTGCATCTTTTGTGCTCACCACAATAATTTGTTTTCGTTGAATTTTAGGTTGTGATTGACATTTGACAATTTCACAGACTTCTTCACGACATAACGACTAATCAGAAGCAAGACTTCAATTCATCACAAGAAGTATTGCTGGATTTTTTTGTCTTGACAATGAGCATGTTGTTTTAGTTCCATTAAAGTTGATTGTAATTCGAATTTACTTTTTGTGCTGACCTCACTGAATTGTTTTAGTGGTATAAGATTGAATGTTCGACATTTCCTTTAACAATTTCACAGACTTATTAACGACATCACGACTAAGCAGTAAACAAAATTTCAATTCATCACAAGAGGTATTTCTCGAGTTATTGCCTGGAAAACAAGTGTGTTGTGTGTTCCATTAAATTGGACCTCGAATATAGTCGATCACTTTGGTGCTTCCAAGGCTTTGTGAAATAAATAGGTTTGAAAACATCGTTAATTATTTCTGCTATGTATTTTTAACTCAAATGAAGATCACGTGAACGTAGGTCACTTTTTGGGGGGTGAAATTTGTAAACGGGTTTAGAATTTGTTTTCATTTAAAACGTTAAAATATGTAAACATCAAACCTTTACCCAATGGCACAATATTGTTATAGACCCATAACAAGGTATATTTAGCTTTAATGAAAGTGTCAGTCTGTTTTTAAGTTAGTATGTTAATGATGGACACCATTGTGCACTGGTCAGCCAATTAACATTAATGACAGTTCTTCATAACCACCAATTATATCCACACAGGGTATTCAGAAAACAGTATTTTTTTCAATCATCAATTTATTTTCCTTATAACTTATCAATTATAAGATGGAAGACATCTGCACTAGAAAGCAGGAGGTCGTGGGTTCGAGTCCCACCCGAGTGATTTTTTTCCAACTTTCACTCGGGAGGTAACACACTGAGTATACAGTGTTTAAACGTTGGTTAAGGGCAAAACCTTTACCTTGAGTTATTACTTATTAATTCTGAAGTTCTTCAAAAAAGGAGTTATAAAAAAACGTATATTATACGATATTCTTTTTATTTATTTGCCCAAAATATATCTATTAACGCAGTAAGGATATATCTATTAATGCAGTACAAATCTTATAGCTACTACAAAAGCCACTCTTATTATATGTTTTCCCGGCTATTTTGAAACGTTTATCATTCAAATTCACCGATTCTAATATTCAAATTCGTCCATCAACATCGATTTAGTGCATTTCGAATATTTAATTTCGTCTTTTGACAGACAATGACAAATTTAGTTCAAGCAAATACATGTAAAACTACAATGAGCACACGTTTTCGTCCCGGAGAAATCGATTTCGTTTTGTCTACGACAAACCTTGTTATTCAGAAATCAAATTCGTTAAATTGATTTATATAAGACGAATTAGATGCTGCCTCTGAATGCTGCCATTTGGCAACAGCCTGAGAGGGGGTGGGGCAGAGGGGGCACTCTTCCCCCAACCCCCTTGGCATTTTTTTTCCACAATTGTTTTTTGTTTATCATTTAGGCCTATTTAAATTAATGGTCCGACATCCCAAATCTCAAAAAAGAAAACCTGCTCAAAATCATTACAATGCGCCGTGAAAATGGGTATATAATTTGCAGTGTGCATAATAATGGTAACTTTTGAAGAGTGCCCCCATTTGGAAGGTGGGTACCAGCCCCCCCCCCCCCCCCTTATGATTTTACGGAGGCCAAGTGCCCGGAGAACAAAACATGTCTACATTTCGGCACGGATGTGCGGTTGCTCCCCCCCCCCCAACATCCAAAACTGGATTCCCTACTGGCAAAAGCTTAGATGACATTGATCTGTAATGACGAATATTTTCAACACGGTGACTAAACACTTTAAGTTTGAAAGGTAAATAACTAGATTGGTTTTGGTAAAAGCGTGTGGAATTTTTCTCGGACGAAATTGAATGTTACAGTTGGTGAATTTGAATAAAAAATCTTTAAAAATAGCCGGGAAAACCTATGAATCAGTCATTTGACATTCAATTTCAAAGTTTGGTCACCCTCTTTAGTCGTCAGGTCGAGAATATTCGTCATAACATACCAAATTCGTCTAAGCTCTTGCCGAATGGCAGCATTCAGAGATTGAAACCGTTTAATATAAAATCAATTAGACGAATTTGATTTCTTAATAACCAGGTTTGGCGTAAACGAGACGAAATCGAATAGTCCGGGAGGAAAACGTGTGCTCGGTTTGAATTTGCTTGAACTGAATTTGAAATTGTCTGACACAAGACGAAATTAAACATGGGAAGCGCACTAAATCGATGTTGATGGACGAATTTGAATATTACAAACGATGAATTCGAATGATAAACAATTAGAAATAGCCGGGAAAACCTATATTATAAAAAGCCAGTATATTATCCGTTTATATTTTTATTAGTTTGCCCAAGATATATCTAAAGAAGTTATTAATGCAGCACAAATCTTAAAAGCTACTACAAAAGCCAGTAGAAAAAATATTGAAAAGGTTTGAAAAGGGTTTTTAAAACTCTGATTATTGACATCAGAGAAGGCAGTACCAACGGACATCAATATTTTATTTTTAATTTTCGATCTTTAGACGTTAAGTTAAAGGATACAATCTAAAATGTAAGCAGGTGCTGTCATGGAATGAACAAAAGTATAAAAACTGTCATCAAATGATGTGCTCATCTATACCCCTGATTCACAATTAAGGTTAAATTACAATAGACGGATCAAAATCGATATTGATAACTGAAATGAAAAGTGTGGACCACCTCCACACCAAAAAGCCCCAAAACTATGGCCACACAACTGTATATTACAAACGATGTTGATGTGGCAACTATTTTGAAAAGATAAAATAGAAAGAAAAATGACAAAATTAAACGACCTGGGACACTTAACCTATTTCTATTGTCACATGGGTGGAAACACTGTCGCTGTTTAAGTAGCAGTGCTTAAAAGTGGTTACGCTGCTGTGTGCTCAACGCAACAAGCACCCATTTTAAGCACCGCAACAGTTGGCAACGATCAAGTGCAAGAGAACCACTTGTATATGATCTCCATACGAGATGTTGAACACATCCACCGTGGACACCGAAGGAATGGCCTGAACATGGAGTAAAATGGCAGAACGACAAATGTTAGACGTTTGTTAACCTTTCGACTTTTTAAAATTGTTCTTTTTTTAACTGTTGTTGTCAAATTCATCGCAAGTCTCTTTATTCTAAAGTCAAGTCACAAGATGTTCAAATGAACTGTGACCGAAACAGTTCTTTGCCACTGTTGATCCCTTGTTACTTGTGAATGGGCTTGTAAAGGGGCATGTGATTTACTTGTGACCAAGAGACCTTTGATTGACTCGACAACACTGTTAAATACGCCAAACACCGAACTGCAGGTTGTTAAATGATAGGACAACAGGGCGAATAAAAGAAAGGAAACCCAAATGGCGCCTCCTATGTTTTGAAAGAAGTTCTTCATTCAGCGATTTCCAGATCAAGGATATGAAAGTCCAATTTTTATACGCTTTATTTTAGTAAAATAATCGTTCATATCGCTCATGTACTTTTCAAGTTATGGACATTTAAACAGAAACTTTGTTTTATAATCTAGTCCACGGATCACAATAAAGGTAAGTGATCTTCCAGCAAAACAAAAACATTTAATGTATCAAAAACACATTAGAACACTCTCATAACAATGATAACTGGCACTTACCATAACCTTTATTTCAACACCGTCTGCTTCCTATGTTTAAACAACATGCTTTATGAGGTCAAAAGTTTATAGTCTTGCCCTGCCTTGTACTCGGCCACTCAGGAGACTTGTGCGATTATTCTGATAATACGGTTTTCATGAAACGACATAGTTTCATTTTACTGAAATATTATGTACCTTGACAGTGATCCATGGGCAAAATTATAAAACTGTGTTTGTGTTCAAAATTGTATAACTCAAAAGTACCAGTGATTTTAATGATTCTTGTACAAAAAGAGAGTTTTCACATCTTAGGTTCTTTACACAATAGGAGGCGCCATTTGGGTTTCCTTTTTTTCTCACTCTGTGTTTTCATTTATTGGTTTATTTTGTCATCATATCTTACCTGCTATCCTTTGTTGACTTTAAAGAAAGTGTAGCCTAGCACGAGAAGCGACAGGCCAGACAATATATTAAAACTCCAAGTTGCAATGCATTTATTCGCTGCAAAGTAGTCCTTTATAGCCGCCTAGGAAGCAAAGAAAGAATGCCAAACGGCAAAAGTTTAATTTCGTAAATTTACATTGACTCAATGCAAAACTGGCCGTTTTCTAGAGTTGTTGTTGAAATTAACATTCCATTGTGAATGTCGTGGAAACAATAGGTCCAACTCATTTGCAATAACACGAAAACAAAACTGGCATATGAATCAACTGTACTGCATCAATCAACTGTCTGTGTGAAAAAAGAAAAGAAAAAAAAAAAAGAATCTGGGACCCAGTCTCTAACTTAACACATTTCCATAGTCATATGCTATCAGACTACCGAAGGCTCGATCTTCTCAAAAAGTTGGATATGTACCAGTCTGGTCTTAGGCTTCAAATTAATATCACTGGGCTTCACTCTCAGGTGCGAAATCAGCGAAAAGCTGATACAGGGCTGACTGCCCTGTATTCCACCCTCTGAATGGCGTACAGGGACCTAATCGACCTCGGCGAAGACACCTTTACCACCGCGGGCTGGAAAATATCGTTGGCTAAATTCAAAATCAGAAAGTTTTTGCCTAGCAAAAGCAGGCTACCAGTCCAAATGTCATGCGATATATATCGTTTGTGACTGGTTCCCAGCTGATGCTTGCTACGCAAATTAAATTGTGAGCAACATTCTCTGTTTAATTTGTAGCTTTATAAAATTGGTCTTTACCCAGCCTCCCTGGTTGATAATCCAGTCAGCAGCCTTGGTGACCAGTAACGTGACTATTTCTTTGATGAGCTGATTGACCCAGCTGGGAACATCCGGCAGATACTTCAAGACCTAAACACGAAATAAACAAAAACAAAAACATAACATAACAATAACAGAGTCTTACCAATTAATTTCCCCAAGTTGTGTCTGTGGCTTCGAGTTCAATTGAAATAGAGTCCGATTCTTTTAATATAGGTTTTCCCGGCTATTTAAAAAAAAAATCATTCAAATTCACCAACTCTGACATTCAATTTCGTCCGAGAAAAAAAAACACAGGCTTTTACCACAATCAATTTATTCATTTACCATTCAGTTTCAAAGTTTGGTCAACCTCTTTAGTGTACCGTGTCGAGAATATTCGTCATTACAGATCAAATTCGTCCAGGCTGTTGTGGAATGGCAGCATTCAGAGATCAAATTCGTCTGTTATCGATCAATTCAAAACTTGTATAAAGTAAATTAGTCAGGTGTGTTCTAGAGAATTTTTCTTCTGTCCCCAAGCCCAATTTGGCACATTCGCCGGCATTGTTTTCGACCAAAGCAGAGTACTGATCTCAAAGAAGAGTTACAAAAAAGTAAAGATTACCAAGATCAACAATACAACATTATTTAAAATAAACAAAAGAAAAGAAACAATCTTAGAATAAAAAAAAAAAGGAAACGTCAAAAGCCACAAATCAATAACCCATAAATACCCGTGTCATAATATTATGCCTAACATATTTTACGAAGATACAATCAAAAGAAATGACACATTTATGAAGAAGTAAGGAAATAAACAAGTAGTAAAGACTTATTCTTATTAGATGCATGTATGCCTTTGAAGATATCGCAATGGAGTAGATTCTTATTCAAATAACTCTGATCCAAACAGATTGCTAAATCTAATGATCATACACTTAAACCGAATGACATAATTTCAATTTGGAAAGTGTTAAACATGAAAATGTCATGTCTGGCAAAGAAAAATAAACGTCTGAAAACGAACTACGAGAATTACAGCAGGGAGTTAATTCGCTTCAAATTATTTTTGCGAAATTGGCCGGCAAAACCTATATTTTTTATAATTATATTCTTGAATCGCGGGTTGAATTTATTCGTGCTGCAGGTAGTCAATATGAAGAAAAATAAATCTTCAACATACTCCCATATTTGTTCTTTCAATTCCTCGGGAATGAAAATCGATTCCTTGTAAAAATGACATTGTTTCATCTTGTCTCACCTTGACACATATCTTGTAGGCAAAGTAGAACAGGGTGATAATCCGTCCCCAGTTTATCCCACTTTCATCGAATGCCTCTTTAGCTACAGCAATGATAGCCTTCATGGGTTCATCTGGGGTTACTGAATCTATAAACCTGCGGAGAGTACAACATGGAGTGTATGGACTCCGTGCACAACCGGCATGGGTGTCGCTGAGGGGGGGGGGGGGTAATTTGTTTTTGTTGTCCCACGATTTGACCGGGGTGATATGTACGTGGGCTATTAATTTGTCCAGTAGTATAACAGGGGTGCAAATGGCGACACCAAAATAGTCCGAATCAACCTCTTCCCCACCCCCCCCCCCGCCCCCCAAAAAAATGCGGCAACAATTTTGGGCAACATTTTTGGAAAAAATCTGCCTTCTAAAAAAACAAATTGAAAAAAAAAAAAATTGTGAGCCCCCAGCCCAATTCGGGGCGCGCCACTGGCTTAATATAGGTCTTCCCGGCTATTGTAAAACATTTCTCATTCAAATTCACCAACTCTTTCAATCCATTTCGTCTGAGAAACTTAAAAAAAAAAAAATAGTCATTTACCATTCAATTTCAAAGTTTGGTCACCTTGTTTAGTCACCGGGTCGAGAATATTTGTCATTGCAGATCAAATTCGTCTCAGTTGTTGCCGAAAATGGCAGCATTCGGAGATGGAATTCGTCTTACACAAATCAATTATATAGACGAATTTGATTTCTGAATAGTTTGGAGTGGACGAGACGAAATCAATACTCGGGACAAAAACATGTGTTCTTTGTGTGAATGTGTGCTTGAACGGAATTATGAAATTTTCTGAAAATAGACGCAATTAAACATTGGCAGTGCGTTATTTCGATGTTGATGGACGAATTTGAAAATTAGAAAACGGTGAATTCGATTGATAAGTGTTTCAAATTAGCCGGGAAAACCTATAATATATTTGGGACAACATAAAAACAAGTTGCCCTGCTCAAGACAAACGTTTGTTAGAACTCATCAATGACGTGTCTGGCCAAAAAGAAAGTAAATAAAATAAACCGGTATTAATAAGTATAGGATTGAGGGGTGACACCCAAAAGTCGGGACTTTTGTTTTAGTGAGGCTCTGCATGTAGCACTTTGAAAATCTTGAATAAAAAAGCCCAAATCATATTTTAGTACAAGAATTATTGAAATCATTCATGTACTTTTTAAGTTACGGAATTCTAAATTCATTTTGGTAAAAGAACACTTACCTTCGTGTGATCCGTGGACAGAACTTTAAAACGGTGGTTGTGTTTAAAATTAACTTAAAAACTTAAAAAGTACATGAGTGATTTCAATGATTCTTGTCAAAAAGAAAGCCTATGAATTGGGCTTTTGTATCCCAGATTTTCAAAGTGCTACATGCAGAACTTTACTAAAACAATGGTCCCGACATTTGGGTCTCGTTTTTTTTACTCACCCTGTATATTAAAGTTGTGTTCGCAGTGACCTTCATTTACATTTTTTTGTTTCTCTTAATATAGGTTTTCCCGGCTATTTCAAAACATGTTTCGTTCGAATTCACCGATTCTTATATTCAATTTCATCCAGCAACATCGATTTAGTGCATTTTCAATGTTTAATTGCGTCTTTTGTCAGACAATTTCAAATTTTGTCCAAACAAATTCAAACAATGAACACACGTTTTCGACCCGGTGTATTCGATCTCGTCTCGACTACGCCGAATCGTGTTATTCAGAAATCAAATTCGTCTAATTGATTTATAAAAGACGAATTTGATCTCGGAATGCTGCCATTCGGCAACAGCTTATAGACAGATTTGATCTGTTATGACGAACAGTAAATGACTAAATTGGTTTTGTTAAAAGAATGTTAGAGTTGGTGAATCTGAATGATGAATGTTTTAAAATAGCCGGGGAAACATATAACTGTTCACTTGTATAGACATGTAGTGTTGTAATCGAGTCACTCTAGTCCAGTCCGAGTCTCGAGTTACTTGTGTCGAGTCAGAGTCCGAGTCTCGAGTAATTTAGCTCGAGTTCGAGATCCGAGTCTCGAGTCACACGGTCAAGTCCGAGTCCGAGTCTTGAGTCACTTGGGTCGAGTCCAAGTCCAAGTCTCGAGTCACTTGGTCAGGTCTGAGTCCGAGTCCGAGTCTCGAGTCACTTGGGTCGAGTCCGAGTCTCGAGTCACTTGGGTCCAGTCCGAGTCTCGAGTCACTTGGGTCCAGTCCGAGTCCTGAAAATCATAGGAGTCGGATTTTCATGATTATGACACCCACCCAACAATACGCACGACAATCGATTTTATGTGGCGTTACTGTGATGGGTCAAAAGTCAGTCCATTCGGTGAGTGCTGTCCTTGAATGTTTGTGCAGTCGCGCTTTTCGCAAGTTGTCTTTATTTTATTGTTTACTCAGTTCCCTTAAATAACTGTATATGTTCTCTAAAAACTTAATGCTACTTTATCAGAAATCTGCTTCGTTTGGGGCGGTTCTTGTCGAAAAATTGATTTGATCGCGTGATTATTTTTTTTCACGCGCGAAGCCTGCAGGCCTAATCACTCCTAAGCTACGAATTCCATAGAGAAGCGACATGTCTCTCAGGACCACCGCAAGATCAACCCACTTTGATGATGATTACACAAAAAACCTCTTGAAACAGTTCTTGAGCCCTTCTAGTAACTGTCCCGAATATAGCAATTTAAAGACTTTATCGGACGGGTTGGTAAAACGGTCGAGTTGGTAATTAACGGGGCGGTCGAGTTGATCGGACGTGTCAAGTCAGGTTGGGCAACGGAAGAGTGTTACAACGGTCGAGTTGGGCACCGAAATCAACAGGCACTGAACGGTCTTTATATAAGCCTCAATCCCACAACATCCTCCAAAAGTGCCTGGTTGATTTTAAAAGATTAGAGGCAAATTTATGTCATATGTACCTCTTAAACCTCACGTCCAGGTCCTGATTCACGGTGTCCCAAATTTTTCTCAGGTAGGATGCCACTTCCCTGCACTGCTCTATCTGTTCAGGTGAGAGAGAGCCTACATGCCCATCCAGTTTAGGAGCACCCCGGATTGAATCTCTCTTAAACTGATCATTCAAGAAAACACTTAGTATCTCAGTGGTTTGGTCACCGAAATCAGGGTGCTGGCGCTGGCTCTGACGCATTCCATTATCTACATATAATGCATAGAGTATTAAAAACATGCAATACATGCAATATTAAAAACATTCAACAACATGAAAAATAGACTAGCACACGAAGAGTGATATTTCCTTCTCTTTCTTTTGAAAATGTTTTCTACGGTTTTCTTATTTCATTTCCTTCTTCTTTTTTGAGGGAGGGGGGTTCTCGCTGAAGAGACACGGGATACTGTCTTTTATTTTAAATACGCATAAATGCCCCGCAACCTTGACCATGACACCATAACCCTTTTCAATATCAACTTACCTGTGTCACAGGTAACGTTCATTTACATCATTGTTGTCTTCTTTAGGTTTTACTGTATTAATACCTTTATGACCCAAGAATAACTGTTTTTGTATGTGATTTAAAAGAGTGAGGGAACGTTAACAGATCATGAATAAGAAATGTGAATAGAAAGACAAGACCAGTGAGTAAACATAGTGTAAAAAGTATGTGATGTACATGTATATATATTAAAACGCTGACACAAAGAGTAACATGGAGAGAAATTCAACTATGAATAATATCACTATTCTTTTCCCTTTTAGATGTATGTTCACTGTAATGGAGTTTTGCCGAATTTCTTACGAGTAAACTTGTGTTTTTGGTGAGAAATGCATGTACTACGCGTACAATGCACCATGCAGCAGTGATATGTTCACTCCTTTGTTTAATATTTGCAAAAGTTCCCCAGAAAGTTATTCCAGTCCAGATAAATTTCAACTTATAGAATAACTTGTACAGATTTTGCACATTAAAAGATAATTCAAGTTAACGTATTCACATGCCGTTTGATTTTAGTTGTGAAAAAAACCTGACAGAGTAAATGTTAATTGGAAACTAAACACAAATATACAAACCAGGAAACTCTAAACAGAATAACAGAAGTATCGTTCGAAAGCCATAGTTACATTTCCAAGAAACTTCCAAACAAATATGTAACCAAATGTTGACAAGTACTGTACACTGAAATGTACGAAGCTCTGGAAGAGCCATCCGACTTGTTCAGATACTGACTTTTATTATCTCAGGTTGACGAAATATTACAGGCAAGATGACGACATCCTGAAATAATTTATGAGGGGATGGCGACATCATGAAAGTAGGATGACGGCATCCTGAGATCATTTCTTAGCGGATGACGACATCCTGAAAATAAAATGACGACATCCTGAGATAATTTATTACGGGATGACGACATCATGAAAATAAAATGATGACATCCTGAGATAATTAATTAGGAGATGAAGACATCCTGAAAGTAGGATGACGACATCCTGAGATAATTTATTATGGGATGACGACATCCCGAGAGTAGGATGACGACATCCTGAGATAATTTATTATGGGATGACGACATCCTGAAAGTAGGATGACGACATCCTGAAAGTAGGATGACGACATCCTGAGATAATTTATTATGGGATGACGACATCCTGAAAGTAAGATGACGACATCCTGAGATAATTTATTATGGGATGACGACATCCTGAGAGTAGGATGACGACATCCAGAGAAATCGCAGAGAGCATGGAAGCCATCTTGGAAACGCACATACATCACGACCTCTATCATCATATAAATACCATGTATATTCAGCTACAGGTGAGCAAATGATAGTATGTGCACATAGTACATGTACACACTCTTGTTTTAATATACTCTCGAGGACAATGCTTTGTGTTTTAGTACAGGCAATATAAGGTTTGACCTCAAACAAATTGCAACAGAATTTTTTTCACCACAGTGCATTTCCATAAGGTCCCTAAAATGACATACTAAAAGTCTTAAGAAATCGAGGTGGTGGAAATATGCCTAACTTGCATAAATCCAAAATGGTCGCATATGTTAGGACTTTCGCATTGATTTGGTCATATTTCTCATACTAGGTAAATTTTGGAAGTAATTTAAACAACAGTTTTAGTCCTCTTACATTGATTTACTCACTATTCTAGTCCTAGGTAAATTCCAAGATCCCTATGTTTCCGAAATTTTCCAAATGCCATATAATTTGCATAAATGCCGTATATCAATTTCCCTAAATTAAAGTTAAAATAATGGATGCCATGTATGGACATGTACCAATTAAATTTTCCCTGATGATCCAAGTCAAATTTCACAACACAGTGCATTGCTATAAGGTCCCTAAAAAGTTGTTAAAAATCCAAGTGGTGGAAATATGCCTAATTTGCATAAATTCAAAAGGCCGCTAATTACATGATGTTCATATGATTTGCGGCCATAATAGTATAAAAGCCGTTATGTACATTTGCTTTTTTTGTTTAAGAAGAAATTTTTGCCATATTTGGAAAGAGTTTACCTCCCTAAGCCGGAAATGCATTTTTTCCCAGCTACCATGTGGCGGCCATCTTGGATTTCAAAATGGCCGCCATTTCGAGCCTAATTTGTATCGTAACTTCGGACTTGATTGTCACATGTGATTTATTTTGATGGCAAACCCCATGTTTTGATACCAAGGAACCTGAGTACATTATTGTTTATGGTGTACTCCAAATGGATGGCAGCCATCTTGGATATTTCAAATATATGGCCGCCATTTTCGGCTTATTTGCATAATAAATTTGGACTCGAAAGGCGTACAAAGTCAATTTCGGTGCAAACCCCATACATTTGATACCAAGTAATCTTAATGACCCATTGCTGATGATGTATCCCAGATGGATGGCAGCCATCTTGGATTTTTTTTCAAATTAGCCGCCATCTTGGATTTCATTTATAATAACATTGCACCTGAATGTCCTATGAAGTCCATGTATTTGAATGAACTCAAGTAAATCACTGTGGACGGAGTACTTACAGTTGATGGCAGCCATCTGCGATATTTCATAATTGCCGCCATTCTGAACTATTTGCATATTAATTTTGGACTTGAATGTCGTATAAAGTCACTATTGGTGGCAAATCCCAAGGAACCCAAGTTAATCATTTTTGATGGGGTACTCCACTGGGAGTATATCCCATCTACAATGATTTTCTTGGGTTCCTTGGTATCAAAAACATGGGGTTTGCCACCAAACTGAACTTCTTATGACAATCAGGTCCGACGTTAGATACAAATTAGGCCCGAAATGGCGGCCATTTTGAATTCCAAGATGACCGCCACATGGTAGATAGAAAAAAAATGTTACCAACAGATTTCCAGCTTAGGAAGGTAAAGTCTATCCAAATATGAGAAAAATTCCTTCTTTAACAAAGAAAAATGCAGTGGCCAAAATACGACATAAAATGCTATCTAGTAATAACTCTCGTCCTAAGTTGCTTTTCGGGGAACTTTAAACAACATTTTGTCATTTGACATTGAGACCATTCAGTGTGAAATCACCCCCCCCCCAAAAAAAAAAAAAAAACCTTTTAAATTTGAAACCCCAACCTCTTCAAATTGGATAATATAGGTTTTCCCGTCCAATTTCGCACTTAGTGCATGCAAAAGTAAAGATAGGTCATTCAATTTCGCACATAGTGCATGAGAAAGTATAAATAGGTCATTCAATTTCGCAGATAGGGCAGCCAAAATCACCAATCGGCATTCAAATTCGCTATGGGGCAGCTGAAATGGCCAATAGGCATTCAAATTCGCTACAGTGCAGCCAAAATGGCCGATTGGCATTCATAATCGCGTTAGGGCAACCAAATTCGCCAATCGGCATACGAATTCGTACATAGTGCAACCAAGTTCGCCCTTGAAACCCCCCCGAGCTAAGTTGGAGCATTCTATTTCGCCATAGGGCATCCAATTATACAATTTGTGCATTCAATTTAGCACATGTATTTTTTTTTCTATTTGTTTTTTCATGTTTATGTCTTATTCCACTTTATGAGCTTGCTTTGTCTATATTAAGTCGCCGAATAAAAATCATATTTATCGGATGGCCCAAAGGCATATGAATTAACAGAGGGAAAATGTCCTTACATTTCCCTCGGTTAATTCATATGTTTTTTTTTTAATCTTTGTAAATTTTCCTTCGTAACGTATATTTTCTTGTGGTCATTTGCACCATCTCTTTAATTATATGCATTGACTAGAGACATAAATCATAGCATGTATACAATATCATGATTTTCTTCTTTCATATTCTATATGTACTTTTTGTGTTTTTTATCTTGTATCTGTTTTCATATGACTTTAATCATTTAAAACAATCTTTCATCACAACTAATCAAGACATTGATTACGGTTTTCTTCCCTTATATATAATAATTCTTTGTTGAACCTTTTATAATCTTTTTAAAACATAATTATAACTAAATGTATATACTTAATATGATATCGCAACTGCAGATGGTTATATTTTACTGATCTTTGGTAGGAAATGTACATGTTAAAGTTCAAAGCTCAAAACTCTGTCATTTTTTTCAGCCATTTATTATTTCACGGGCCAGACAGCGGGGCATGTAACGCTGGGAGTGCCGGTACCAATTCCTACACTTTCCTTGCGTGATGGCGTCGATGTTCCGTTGAGCAACTGTTGTAAGCTGCCTGCATCTCCATTGCTGGAGGTTGTCTCCAGCCTCACGTGCAGCCTCCCTGTCGTCAAGACGTTGCCGCATCTCCGGACGACCTAAATCCCGTTTCACAGCAGCCTTGAAAGCACTGTGCGCCATTTCAGTTGGATTCAGAAATGGGCTGTAGGGGGAAAGCAGTTTCAGGTTGATTCTCGGATGCATACCATCTGGCAACTGTGCTCTTACATGGGGGCGAGCGTTGTCATAGATGATGTACACTGGTTCGCCTGGTGGGAATATGTGCTCGCATTGACGAGCAGTGACTAGGAGGAACTGCTCGAAAGTATCTCTTGTGACGGTTGCGCAGGCTATTGTGTGGTTGACCAGACCGATCTCATCCGATATAGCAAACGTGACATTGCAGTTTTTGCCACGCTGCCCATGGACAACTCGACGGGCGGGTTCACCACGAGGTGCTCTTCCACGCGACCGACGGGTCCAGACATTGTACCCCGTTTCGTCCACGAAGACGCAATGCGACACAACACCTGTCTGCATGAACCAGTTTGCGTACTGTTCTCGTTGCTGCAGCACACGGGGAGAATTGCGGACGTCTGGTACGTCTTCGAGCATCTTCATTGAGAACATCATACCATCAAGTGTTCTGGCGATAGTTGATGTGCTCACTGGTGGCTTTTGGGGCATGTTTTGTCGCAGGTCTTGCTGCATCTCTTCAAGAGTCATCATGGGGTTATCTTGAAGAGACCTCTCTAGTCTGTTCTTCATTTCCTCGTCCATCTTCCTGTTTCTAGCCCCTCCTGT